GGAGAGGACCTGAGAGATATTTTGGCAGTGGCTTTAGCACCACTAACTGGCAACGAAGCGGAAAAAATAAAAGAAGAAATGGATTTGGTCTATAGGGCCTACTCCAATTTCACAAGAAAAAACAAGTTGCCGGCAGAAGTGGTTGTGAAATTCTCAAAACAGCGTCTCAGGGACCAGATTTTAAAGGTTACATCAGCGTCACCCCTGAAAATTGGAGATCAAATGATCAGGATTTTGAAAGATGTTCCATTTGAAATCAGAATGAAAAGAAAGGAATATAAAGGCTTGACCACCTTCTTGCAAAAACATCAAACGAGTTATAAATGGCTGGTGCCCGAAGGACTGGTTTTCAAGTTCAAAGAGAAAAGAGAAAAAATAGACTCTATCTTTAAGGCTCAAGATTTCTTGAAAAGGCACGTCAGTAAAGGAGAAGGAGCAGAACTGGCCAAGTGGATGTCATCACTAAGCGTGGAAGACAGCAGCTCGGAGGGAGAGGTGAAGGACGAAGAAGCCGGAGAAGCGACGGGATTGAAATACAACTTGAGAGAAAAGAAAGGAAAAGACCCCAAAGTTTAAAAACTTTCTTTTTTTTATTTTTCGGATTACACTTTGAAAGAGAAATTAATCTCAGAAGGACATTACTAATATATTAATTGCCTTATTCAACAGAAACAGAAGAAAAGAAGAACGCCCGACGGTAGAAGATATTATGGACTGTTTACTTTTAATACTAAAAGATTAATATACTAATACTTTAACACCACTCATCTTTCCTTTACCCCTCTATATACCCTCGCCCCTTTCTGAACTTTAAGCGAAATATCTCTCCTTTTTAGGAGAGGGAATAAATCATTTATTTTAAAAAAACAAAGGAGCACCCCGGGATGTGATATCAGAGTCATGTGACAGGAAGAGGGGGAGCTGGACCATAACCAACAGACCGAAAGGGCTAAGGACAAGAAACAAAAAACAGTCATCAAGAGGTTCCGGTGATGTCAGGGGGTGTGGCCTTATGACACACTTCCAGTGATGTCAGGGGGTGTGGCATATGCTAATTAGTTATGCTAATGAGCTACGGCAGCTCTTTTTCTACCAAAAGACCCCTGGTAGAGCCTACAGTCTAGATCCATTACTCATGGGTATAATGACACCTTGGGATTCCAAGTCAGTGCAGATGTAAATCTGATTCCCTGTTAACTGAAGTTAAAACATGGGAAGTCAGCTGCAGCTAGGGGCTCCAGGCAGGAAGGGTTGCACTGTGTGGCAACTGGTGGCAGGGCTGTGGGCAGGGATGAGGACGAAGGCCCGTAACACTGGCTGTGGCATCGTGTTATTTCAGGTTTTAAAAAAGGAAGTGAAATAGGTAGCTGTAGGAATTGCAAGAAACTCTGTGGTTTTGCCACAGAGTTTCTGCTGATTCCTAGAGCTGCCTTATGTCATTTCCAGTTTTTAAGACGAAGTGATGTGACACGACAGCTGGCGTTGTGGGATCTCCCACTCCTGCCCTGATTGCAGGCTTATTTCTATCACTCTACTACTCTTGGGTGCAGATTCCCCTCCCCCACCTTAACCATCACCAGACT